AGCTCTCTTAAAGGGCATACGATATTGGTACCTGTTCTAGCAACTGCAGACATCAGTGCAGGGCAGTTATGCATCTCAAAAGGAGGTGCAAAACATGTATTAATAGCTTATGTGGACTGAAAGAACTTATCACCTGGGAGGAGCCCAGTGGTTATTTCATCTAACCCTCTTGCTAAATGAGGGAACAGATAAAGACTTGTTAAAGAATTTGCCCAGCAGCACAAAACCACCTAGTAGTAGGTAACTGGGACCAGGACCTGTTGCATGGGCTGGCGGACCTTCTTAGGGATCAATGTGTGCTCATTTGTGGAGAAGCTTCCAATGGCTTCTTAGAGCTAGAGTCACAGGAAACAACTGCAAATTCTATGGTGTTTACTTTTTCTTTCCCAAGAAATAAACAGAGTTTGGGAGCTCAGTACATTAGTAATACAAGTATAAGAGACAGTAGGCTTGGGGAGCGGGGGAGCACAAATTATAGAATAATGTTTATAAAGAGCTTCGTGCCATTTTTTCTTTCTTTTTTGGTCACCTGTAACCTACTAGAATTCAAAAGATTGCCAATAAGGAAAAATGGGATTATTCAGAACAAGTCACCTGATATGGAATCCCAGTGAGAATAGCTCCCTCACAAATAGTACTCACGTCCCACCTGACTGTCCAGGGAACACACGTGTGACCCTGGTCGCTCACTCATTCTCATGGGGTCTCTGTGTCCCCATTTATAAAATGAATACACTTGACCTTGCCAGTGACTCCCAAATATGGTTGATGCTCCGAATTCCAAGAACTGGTTAAAATATAGTTTCTGGGTATCCCTCTAATCCCCGCTCCTGGTGGTTTTGGATTCAATAATTCTGAGGTGGGGCCCAGGAGTCAACATTTTTAAAAGCTCAGCCAGGTTTGGGAAGGCTTGCACTAGGTGATCTGAGCTATCCCTTCGAGGCCCGAGCTTCATTACAAAGATTTTTGTGTATCCTGCACACTAGCTGCTGTCAGGGGGACAATGAGGGGGAGCTGAGGGGATTCATAATGTGGGAGGAAGGTCTGCACAGACATAGGAGGTATGCACTGCCTGGGCCCAGGTTTAATTATTCAGGCAAGATATGTAAAGTTATATATAATATTTAATCGGTTACTGTGATATCATAGAAATACCGAGAATCATAAAAGTAAAAAAAGCTGCTAAGTAGTACATAATGTTTCCGGGATTCTAAGAAGTTGCTGCTGGTCTACAGACACTCTGGGACATGGTCCCTGGAAGGCGTGGGCAGGTCACTGGCCCCGGTCCTGGTGCCGCTTGCCCTTGCCCTTCTTCTTCTTGTCCTCCAGGCGCGGCTTCAGGGCGCAGACGCAGGCGGACACGCCGGCAATGGCCTTGGGCAGGTCAGTGCCTTTGGTCCACTTGTTGGTCTCGCGGTCATACACCTGCACCGTCTTGGAGAAGGCGGTGTTCTCCCAGCTGTAGCCACCCAGGATGTAGATGCGGCCCTCCCACACGGCCACGCCCGACTCGCTGTTGGCCTGCAGCAGTGGCGCCACGCGGGTCCACTGGTTGCACTGCGGGCTGTAGGCCTCCACGCCCAGCACGTCGAAGCGCTCCATGGACTCGATGGTGTCGTCGCTGCCCCCGATGGAGTAGATGCTCTCGCCCAGGCTGCACATGCTGTGCCAGCCGCGCGCCGTGGTCATGGGCCGCCGCTCCTCCCACACGTCCGTCCGGTGGTCATAGCACAGCAGGTTCTTGCGGTAAGGGCCGATCTGGTAGTCGTGGCCCCCCGAGATGTACACGAAGTCTTTGTAGATGGTGCCCGCGTGGCCATATGTGAACCTGCGGAGAGAAGGATGGAAAAAGAGACAGGAAGCTCAGTGCTGCTGTGGGCTTTGCCTCCAGAGCCTGGGCCTGTCTTCTCCTCTGCAAAACAGGACAAACTTGCCCTCTCAGAGGGTGTGAGGATTTAAGGAGACAGTGCAGGGAGCAGGACCCCACGAGCACTTTGTACACGTCAGTAAACAAGAAGTGGCAGGGCAGGTAAGCGGGCGGCTCGGCAGTCAGGCCCCCTGGGCTGGGATCCCAGCCCTGCCCTTCTTGGAATCTCCGTTTCCCCAGCGGGAAATGGGGACAGTAACAGGGCTGTTGCCGTCCTCACACGGATGCAATCAGCTAGAATAATATGCTACTTAGGCACACGCATGTACCCCATCAAATAACGTATCAAAGAGGGAATAAACATAGAGTGCAATTCCAACTCTGATGACATTCTGGAAAAGACAAAACCATAGAGACAGCAAAATCAATGTCTGCCAGGGGCTGGTGGGAACAGGGATGAAGGGATGAGTAGAGAGAGCACAAAGCATCTTTTAGGGCAGTGAAACTATGCTGTGGGGTGCTGTAATGGTAGATACATGCTATTATGCATTTGTCAAAGCTCATAGAACTGTGCAACACACAGAGTGAACCCTAATGTAAACTGGGGACGTTAGTTAATAATACCGTAACAATATCGATTCATCAATTGTAACAAATGTTCCGCACCAATGCAAGATGTTGACAGAAGAAACCATGTGTGTGGCTGGAGAGAGGAACTTTCTCTACTTTCTCTTCAATTTTCTGTAAACGTAAAACTGCTCTAAAATCTAGTCTATTGGGCTGACTGGTTAGCTCAGCTGGTTAGAGCACAACCTTCTAACAACAAGGACATGAGTTTGATCCCTGTACTGGACAGCCAAAAAAAAAAAAAAAAAAAAAACTATGAAAAAGGGGAGTGACTAACAACAACAAAAAAACCCCGTGCAAACAAAGGTTACCAAAAGCCAAGAAAATGATGTCACGAAAATCAGGATAGTGGTTACTCAGCTGGGAGGCGGGGGTGGGGAGGTGGGGTAAGAAAAGCACGTGGAGTGATGTTCACAGAAGCACAACCCCAGGGCAGACAGAAGTCACCGTTCAATGTCATAGCTCTGGATTGGGCCATGTGTTCATGGAGGTGCCATTACACAAGCAAGTCAATAAATGAAAGAAGCTGTGAATAAGTAAACTAAATAAAACTGCAACATGCACTAATGACGACAGCATCGTGGACTGTGTTTCTTCCAACTTTGTGCACCTAAAGCCCATTTAGAAAGAAAAAGGGTTGTTGTGGTGTGTAAGACACATCAATCACATTGGCTGGCCCAGAGAAAGTGATGCCGGCAGGTGTTCGCTATTACTAAGCTTTATTTCTCCATCTGTGAAGTGGGATGATATAAGTATCTAAACCCAGGGAGACCATGGGTCCTGGTTAGCCTAGGATAGGGCCAGTATATATACCATTGACCTGCCCTGTTCACTGTCATCCTGGCTTAGATGATAAATCATAGAGGATGCCTACTGCCACCCCATCAGGCTACTGTGATGTCAAAGCACTCATCACATGAAGCACTTGACCCAGAGTTAGCACTCGGTAATCAGTAGCTACTATGACGACAGCCCAATCATCTTATTAATAGGCAATAGCTGTTATACCCTACTGGCTTCTGGGAACCTCTGCATGAAGAGGTTGTCTAGGAGATGGAGGATCTGGGATTCATGCCCCAACCATGACTTTAAAACATGGCACTTACCCCCTACTCTCTTCTAACCCTTGGGAACAGAGTCCCCAAGATGCCTGGATGGTTCCACAGCAAAAGTGGTTCAGAAAGTGCATTTTCAGGTACAGCCACAGGTCAAATAAATGGTGTACACCTTCTGCTAATCCTGTGATGATAATAAGTGCTCAATAACTGCACACCTGGCCACAGGGAGGACCAAGGACAGTGTAAAGGGCTATAACCCTGGAGCACTTCCTGTGTGCTGGATGCCACATGGGGTCTCGTGAGCAGAATTTCATCTACTCTGCACGACAATGCCATGGGGCAGACATTGGGATCCTCCCTACCCAGCAGATGAGGAAATAAAGGCTGAGTGGGGTGAAGGCACAGATGTAGTATAGGTATCCCCCCACCTCTTAGAGCTCCTCCTGCCCAGACTCAGTGACTTCTTTAGGTAAATCCCTCACTATCAGAACTCAATACTCACTCTCTGAAACTCAGGAACTGAACAGACTCGGAAACTGGGGGGTTGTGTCTTGATGGCAGAGCTGACACTTGTACTCAGTCTAGAACGAGAGCCAAGACTCCCCCCAGCAGATCCCACCCCTCCTGGTCTACCCACTGTTGTCTATAAGCCATGAGAGTCTTTTCTGGAATTGGAGGCCAAGATACCCAGAAAGTGAGGTGCACTAAACCATATCCCATAAAAATGTCCTGCTGGAAGAGCCTGCTGCAAAACCCCCAGTCACCTTGGCAAGCCGGCCACGTAGGACCAGGAGTCGGTCTTGGGACTGTACGTCTCTACTGAGGAGAGGGCTCCATTCTCATTCCGGCCGCCAACGGCCACCAGCATGTCATCGATGGAGGCGAGGTAGAAGTCCACGCGGCGCTGGTTCATGGAGGCCACCTGAGGGGGCGAAACACCTGCACCTTCCCTTCCCAGACCCAGCACAGCACTGACCCCAGCTTGGCATTCTCTAAACGTGACCATGGGATACACAGCCCAGGAGGGTGAGACAGCAGCAAAGGGGGTCAGGTAAAGGGAGTTAAACTTGAGTGAAGAGAGGCTCTTTAGGTGGGACTTCTCAGAGTCCCTGAGGTTTCCTTAAGACCACAGTTCAGAATCGCAGATTTACTTCAGAATAAAAATTTATCTTTCCCCTCTCTCCGCCATCAGATATTTTTAAAAAATTAATGCCGACTGCCATCCATCTTAACAGAGCAAAGTGCCATGTACAAGGAAATTAAAAAGTAGGAGACCCAACTTTTTAAAAATAATCCCAGCAGAATGCACAAATGAATGCGGTCCCACAGGAGACACACATTCAGCTGCCACAGCCACAGAGCATTTGAAGATGGGCTCCACAGCTGGAAGCCCCTTTTCAGTGGCAAAACTTAGACCTTAGGGAGAAGTTTTAGGTTTTTAAGAATAAAATTGAAAGATTATCTGAAATCTGTTCTGATTTTTGAGCTCAGAAAAAAACTGAGTTAATAATGCTGAGGTGTGAGTATAAAGACCGAGACAGACTTTTGTGGGTGGTTGTCTGGAGAGGCGTTCTTGGGAGAAAGGGGACATCTTCCTTATGCCAGATGCTTGTCAACCAACATGATCTATAACCCCCCAACTCTAGAAGGCCAGTGTCCCCACACATATTTTCCCAGAAGGGGAATCCGAAATTTGGAGAGGCCAAGGACCTGGTCTGAAATCCCCCAACTACAATTTAGCCAAGCTGGGATGTCATCTCAGGCCTGGTGTCAAGCCCACACTCTTTCCAGAATCAGGCCACACAGTCCCTGCCTAAGGGCCAGATGTGAGCCTTTGTGGCCTCCTTAAACCGGCTCCCAAAACCTTACAAAAGAGGAGCTCAGAGCAGACTCACACAAAGGGAACACTGAACTACGGATCAAATGTCTACACTGGCGCTGTCCAATATGGTAGCCATGAGCCTTGTGAGGCCATTTACATTCAAATATAAATTAGTTAAAATTAAATAAGAGTGAAAATTTAGACCTTCAGTCACATTGGCCATATTACAAGAGCCACACGTGGCTGGTGGCTACAGTATTGGCCAATGTAGACATGGAACGTCTCTGTCAGCGCAGAAATTTCATTGGACAGCACTGCTCTGGACAATGACCAACCCTTCAGAGGGTGGTCGGTCAGTCTTCACTCTCCCCAATTAGGGTATGGGCATGGAGGAGGGTGGAAATTATGTCACTTTATCATCACACCTCGTTCAGAAACAGGACAGTCATCAAGGCCCGAGAGAAGGAAGGGAAGTCAAGGCTAGGTAAGGAAATCAAGAGTCCTCAAGAATAAAGAAATAATCTGGCTTTAATCTCACCTTGATCCACTGTTTACAGCGGGGGTCATACCTATAAAGAAGATTGGAGGCCGCATCCCCTCCGTTGTCCCGTGAGAAGCTGCCACCGGCGATGAAGATGAAACCACCCAGCACAGCAACGCAGTGGTGGCTCCGCCGGGCCGGCAGGGGCGTCTCCTTGACCCACTGCTCGCTCTTGGCGTCCAGGTAGCAGGTGTCATCACTGAGCTCCAGACACCGCTCGGAGACCTCGCCGCCCACAAATAGCAAGCGCTCCTCGTTGGTGCGGAGCGCCGTGCGCTTGGTCTGCATGACGGGCTGGGCCGCCAGGCTGTTGTGGTAGCGCACGGCCTCCTCGATGAAGCCCTCACAGTTGGCCTCCTTGGGCAGCAGCGCGCACACAGCCGGCTTGACGCGGTGCAGCAGGTCGTTCTTGGGGATGAGCGGAAAGTGGATGTTCTCCAGCACCTGGTAGGCATGGGCCTCGCGCTCGGGCTGCTGCGTCAGCCACTGCAGGGCAGCCTGCAGCAGGTCGTGCTCGCATTCGCGCTGCACCTCGCTGCTGCCCAGGTAGAGGCACAGCTTCTGCATGGAGACGTTCTGCAGGAAGTCGGGCGTGAAGGACAGTGTGCCGAAGCGGCTCAGGATGAAGCTGTCGATGAAGGCGTCGAGCCGCTTGAGGCTGTAGATGGAGGCCAGCTCCTGCAGGTACAGGTAGTTGTCCTCACTCACCTCCTGCTCCAGGTACTCGCAGCAGAAGTCCACCGCCGTCCAGATCTGCAGCAGGTGGGCCGTCTCCAGGATGTAGTCGATGTTGCCGCCGTCCAGCACCAGCTCCCCACCGTACAAGAAGTCCACCACAGCCTTGAGCCCGATGTAGGAGGCGCCAATCAGCTCCACCTCCTTCTGGAAAGCCTCTCGCATGCCAATGGTGAACATGGAGTTGAAGTAGTCGCTGCACACGGCCAGCAGGTTGCGGTGAGCTGGCACCCGCTGCTCGTCGGCCACCAGGACGATGTCACAGAAGAGGCCGCGGAGACGTTGCTCGTTCAGCCGCTGCAGCACCGTGGTTGAGTGCTCAGCCCAGCGGTACACCTGTGACAGAGAGTGCATGTCAGGGACAGGAGGCATAGCCAATGTCACAGAAGAGGCCGCGGAGACGTTGCTCGTTCAGCCGCTGCAGCACCGTGGTTGAGTGGTCAGCCCAGCGGTACACCTGTGACAGAGAGTGCATGTCAGGGACAGGAGGCATAGCCGCCTGCTCTCCCACTGCCCACAGGGTCCTGTGATCAAGCCGGTGGGTCCCAACCAGCGTTTGAAATTACATGGAATTAAAGAGAAGTGGAAAGAAAACATTAGAGTGCACCACAGGAAACAGGCATTTCTGTGTGCATATGTATTGTATGTATTTCCTTCCTTTCTTCTTATAAATGCAATTCCTAAAAGCTTGCTTTCTCTTCCCTCTCCTTTCCTTCCTCTTCCTCGTTCTTTTTTACTGTGGGTCATGACAGATAGGTTTGAAAATGCTGTCCTATTAGGGAAGTACAGTTGCTTGCTCAGGGCACAGCCTCTAAAATCAGA